AAATATTAAAAAAGGATTTTTTACATGGCACCCCTGCTCTCGACAGACGGCACCCCGGTTGGGAAACACTGGTTTAGACTTTCTTAGTTTTTAACTGAAACAAAGCTATGCAGACTTTTTCCACCAAATGCTATAAATGAAGGATGATGTAGTCAGCTGATCATTAATGCAAAAACTATTCAGTTTAATGCCACAAATGACCAGTCAGAATTAAGTATTAAGAATTAATTGAATTAAATGTTTGAATCTGCACTTTGTTTTAGATAAGAGAAGTGGGAACACAGTGCAGTACTGGCTGCTCCTGGACCGCATTGTTCAACAGATGGTCCTGCAGAATGACAAAGGTCACGACCCTGACGTCACACCATTAGAAAACTTCAATGTAAAGAATGTGGTTCGAATGTGAGTTTGTCTCTTTTTTTTTTTTTTTTTTTTTTGTGCTTCGGATGTGTGCTCTCAGAAAACCGTATATCAGAAGTTTAAACTCATATGGTTTAAAACGCATGATTTCAGCGAGATAAACACAATAATCAGAACCAAAACAGATGTTTTTAGCAGGTACGGGCTGTAAAGGCGCAGCTCTATTCTGGAAAAGGGGGCGGGGAACAGCAGCTCATTTGCATTTAAAGAGACAGGCCCGAAAAACAGCGTGTTTCTGCTTCCACTCAAAAAAGGCATTTTAAAAATGATATAATAAATGATCTGTGGAGTATTTTGAGCTGAAACTTCACAGACACATTCTGGGGACACCAGAGACTTATATTACATATTGTAAAAAGGGGCATAATATGTCTACTTTAAGATTTTGTATCCATTCAATGTATCCAAGCTTCATTTATTGAAAAGACCAAAGATTGATTTATTGAATATTTTTATTGGATTCATTTGTCATGTCACATCCCAAAGAGAGTTATTAGCATTTCTTTTGAAATAGTTGTGCAGATTTATATTATTTTAATTCAGCATGTCTCATTACCTCGATTTCATCTTTAAAGAATGAGAAAACTCAGGAAATATTTAATTCACTTATAATAGAACAGTCAAGCCTCTCTAACCCAAAATATATGACATACTAAAGGAAAACACTACTGCGGGTCCTAGCTGTAGAACTCCTGGGTAGTTGAATATTATTCAGGGTTTACATATTTCCCATTTATAGCTTCATACAGATGTGACTGAAGTGTCAGAATGAGCTGAAATTAAACTATCTTCCATGCAGAGCTTAATACTTTGATTATCCAAGGTTCCCACTGAGTTTTTTTTCCTTAGTGGCGATATTGTCATTATAAATACTTTCATTACAGGATCCAGTTCTTATTTTAGGTTACATATCTGTTTGTCACCTCAGGACTACTACCCTTTCTGTATGAAATGAATCCCACAAAGCAAACTGTAACAGTTGGTCACAGCTGCCAATCCAGACGATGTCGGATATATGACAGCTCACTGACTGACTGCGGTTTGGCTTGGGCCCAAAACACAAAAGGTTCTCGTAAAGCAAGACTCCAAACTAAATGAAACGAACCAGACAAATTCCATTATTACCAGATTCACATCAAAATCCTCCCTGCAGATTTTTATTAATGACAGTTTATGAACGACCGACATCGAGACCTCATCAAAACACACATTAACAGCCGACTTCAGCACCATCTGTAGATCATGGCCTGTGGATCTATTACACTCTCATCCTCCCTAAATGGTCTCTTAGGAGTCTCCACAAGAAGAGATTGGGGTGTAATCCATTGTACAGCCACCGAACGGACCACCCAAGCTGAGATTCACAGGGATTTAAATAGTTTCGCTTCTCAAGTGGAAGCCTGTAGAGTCATTATTGTTGGTTTAGGAATGGTGAATGTGCTGCTGGACGTCAGGGCGGTGGAAGGTGAGATGGTGGTCTGGCTGGAGGGAGAAGAGACTGAGGAGTAACATGTGCTCAATGATCGCTAATTAGAGCTTAGTCCATATTAATCAACTCAGTGTCGACAGTTCTCAATCAGAAGACTAAATGAAACCTGTTAAGCCAGCTGTACAGAAATAGATCAGAAAGGACTATACACTAGGGGGAAAAAAAAATCAAAAATTTTAATAATAATTGTAACAACATACATGTAAAAAATTTTGGGGTCAATTTTTTTTTGATCCTTTTATTCAGTAACTGTGCGTTCACACCGCCGCCGTCGAGAGCGTCAAAAATCGCTCTGGCCGCCCTGCCAACAACACTGTAGAAAGATCCGTGGGCGCTCTGACGTAGATCGAATGCTTATCTTGTATTTAAAGGGGTCTCAAAGCAAACACGCTTGTTGATCTTGTGCAGACTGACCACAAGGAGGGTAACATTAAGTTAACCTCATTAAATATTGTTGTGGACGAAGTATTAAGATCCTTTACCTCATAATGTATAAAGCACTAATACCACACTGTAAAAATACTCTGATACAAGTAAAAGTCCTGCATTGAAAATGTTACTTAAGTAAGTATAATCAGGTATAAACATTACTTAATGTAAGTATAATCAGGAAAATCGATTTAAAGGTTTAAAAGTGAACTGGGACTATTATACTATTATTTGTTATATCATTAGATTATTATTCCTATAACATTAATGCACATCAGCAACTCACCAGGAACACCAATAATCTCAGACACCTTGGTCCACACATCATTTTTTTTTTTAGTCGCATCCAAAATAAAAGTTTTTGTTTATATAATATATGTTTGTGTACTGTGCATATTTATTATGTACATATAGAGACACACATACAGTATATATTTTGAAAATATTTACATGTATTTACTTATAAATATATTTAAAATATTAACATTTTTCTTAAATATATACATGCATGTGTGTGTATTTAAATGTACATAATAAATATACACAGTACACACACTTATATTATGTACACAAAAACGTTTAGTTTGAATGCGATTAATCGCGATTAATCATTGCCCAACACTAATTAAAAGTGACAGTAAAAACATTTATGTTACAAAAAAAATCGATTTCAAATAAGTGCTGTTCTCTTAAACTTTTTATTCATCAAAGAATCCAGAAAAAAATGTATCATGGTTTCCAAAAAAAATATCAACCAGCACAACAGTTTTTTTTACATTCAACATTGTTTCTTGAGCAGCAAATCAGCATTTTGGAATAATATCTGAAGGATCATGTGACACTAAAGACTGGAGTAATGATGCTGAAAATTCAGCTTTGCCATCAACAGTTATTTTAAATTGTAATAGTTTTTCAAAATATTACTGTTATTGTATTTTTGATCAAATAAACATAGCCTTGGTGAACAAAAGAGACTTCTTTCAAAAACATGAAAAAAAAAAAAACTTTTTTGAACGTTAGGCCAAGTTTTTGAACTTTTAATACAAGTCTATTTTTTCTTACAGCACTCTTTCAGCACTTATTAAAACTAAAGTAATATTGTGTGTTAATAACCATAAAAATATTGTATGTTTGATGAGGAAAATGCCTACAGAAGAGGATTAGGGCCAAGCAATAATACAAAAAAATAAAACCATCTTGAGATTAAAGACATTATGCGAGGTAAAATTTTAAGAAAAATATCAACATAAAATGTTGAGAATAAAATCATTACATTTCAAGAATAAAGTCTGTCTATTTCGAGAAAAAAACTCTTCAAATTTCAAGAAACAAGTCAAAATGTTGACAATAGAGAGAAAAAATCATGTTTTAAGAAAAACTCGTTAATATACTTATATATTATATACTTATATAGTCATACTTATAAATAGTGACAGATACTATTTGCACCTCAGTACTGTTGTACATTAACAGGATGAAATAATAACAAAGTGCAAATGATTTTATTTATTAAAATGATTGAATAAATGCTGCCTTATTGAGACAACAAAGCCCTCCCAATATCCTACCTTCCCCTAAACCTACCCAATAAATACATCATTATTAAACACTCATTAGGCAATTGATTTTCACTTTTCCAATGTGATATGAGATGAGAAAAGAAAGAAAAGCGAGTTCGACAAAAGGCATATTCGAACTCTGGTCGATCGTATCGTATGCTACATCTAAGAACATTACTTTCTACGACCTACACCACTGCAGACGCTGTTTAACACTGTCCAACGAGATAAAATGAACATGACACGAGTGTGTTTCTTTTTTTACTTTTTTCTCGAAACACAATGACTTTATTGTCTGAATTTTTTGAGTTTATTCTCAACATTCTATTTACACTTTTCTTGAAAAACTGTCAGTTTAATCTTGTATAATAATGACTTTAATCTCGAGATGATTTAATTTTTTTATTATTGCTTGGCCCTAATCCTCTTCCGTATATCTGTAAGTCAATTTTTTACTTTGATTTTGATTTCATTGGGTCTCTAAAGGTCTGATTCATGGCGTTTCACAATCACGTTAAAGTGTCTGTGACCACATGAAATGGAAAGTCTTCTGCAGCTCCACAAGATTTTCCTCCCACTGTGTCTCCTGCTTATTATTCGCTGATTAAACAATAAAGAGGGAGTCTTGTGGTTACGCTAATGACCTCCTGATAATGACGTTGGCTTGCCTCTGAATGAACTGAGGCTCCCATTATTTCTGTCTTTTCCTTCCTGAGTTCAACTTCACTCACTCTTGTAAGCATGTGAACTTTGTTAGAAAGAACTCCGTAACACAGAACGCTGGGAATTGGAAGGGCTGCTTGGCACAAACACCTCAACTTGAACATGGAAAGAGCTCTGGCCGTGTTTCACGTCACTGCTGTGGTTTGCAGTCTCTCTGGATCCTGGCTGGGGAACGAAGGCTGCTCTCCAGCGCTGATCTCAGACCCGTCAAACACCTGTTCTTCTTGGCCTAATGTCCGCACACAGATATCTCTGGATCAGATGCGTCTCTGTATCATTAATATGCAATCTTGGAGGGTGGGCTGCACTGATGGATTCTACTCTGGGTGGGTTTGACCGTCTCTGTCAGAGGGCTACTAAGAAGATCTGCCAACAACTTCAATTATAGGAGAGAGATATTTATCTTCCCTAGATTGTCAGCTTGTTTTGCAACATACTTATCATTTATAGCTCCAACAAATTGGTGGCAAGGCCAGGGACTCACATACGACAAACTGACCACAAATGTCACGTTGCTGTCGAGACGCAACCAGTGATGATCACAGATTATTTAAAGCAGGCAATTGCTGGGTTAATTTATACGAGTCATGCGATAATATCACTTCTTCACTCCACTAATGATATATAGTGAAAGCCAGGAAATTCTTGGTTACTGGAACAAACACTTGGGTTCAACATTGGGCCTCAAGATGAATAGCTCTTCTAAATAACACACACTAATTTATTTATACTATATGCCAAAGGAAAATTTATGCAAGCGGAGGAATTTCCCAGCAATTTCCTTTTCTCAGTGTGATTAATTACAGTTCACTGAGTTTTCTGCTGATGTGGATCTATCACTCGGCTTTCATTTGTGAATTCATTTCAAATGACTTTATTTGTCCCAGTCTGCTTGATCTGTATATCCTGTGCTTGTGTTTCAGATTGAAAGTTTCCAATGAGGAAATAAAGAGGGCTATTCTGACTATGGACGAACAGGAAGATCTGCCCAAGGACATGCTGGAGCAGGTGAGTGTGAACTGACGGGAATGTGAGGGACAGAAGGAAAAGCATTCTGGATTTAAATCAGCTATCATGGTTAACAAACATGTATGGAAACCTAAAAAAAAATGTTGTAAAAAATACAACAGGTAATGATGAGAGCAAGTTTAATTTAAGAAAAAGAGTCACATTGTGAGTCACATTGAGCTCCTAAAACTTCAATTCTTCAAACAGTGGTACAAGAATATGTGGTGCTGGTCTTTCAAGAGTGACTCTCAACTTATCTGTCGATAAAGCCTATAAAAAATTAGTCTTAATGTATTTCACAATACTTCAGCATGTTATTAAAGGGATAGTTCACCCAAAAATTACAGTTCTGTCATCATTTCCTCATCCTAATGTTGTTAGACGTGACTGACTTTCTGCTGTGCAACACAAAAGAAAAAGTTTGATTTTGTAGAGTGTTGGTAACCAAAATTTCCAGTTGGCTCCCATTGACTTCCATTATATTTTTTGACCATACAATTGGAAGCAACTCTGTTTTGGTTACCAGCATTCTTCAAAATATTATTTTTTTTTGCGTTTCACAAGGGGAAAGAATGTAATGCAGGTTTGGAACTAAATGAGGGTGAGTAAATTATGACAGAAATTTCAGTTTTGGGTGAACTATCCCTTTAAAAAATACCAAATCAATGCATTCATTTCCCCCCTGCCAACTTGTTTCAGAGACGTAGTTTGAAGATGGTCCACATTTGTCATCCTCTCTCTCCTTCAGCCCGCCGGGTCAGAAGGAACCTCCGTACCTGACAGAGGCTGGCAGAGAGGCGTTTGATCAGCTGTACCGACTGTGGGAGGGAGAAATGAGGAACATTCTGTCCACACAGACACCATCCCCGCCCCTGCCGCTGCCGCTGGACTGTCAGAGTCAGCTGGTCAAAGACGTGCTCAACGTGTTGATCGGGGTCTCCTCTGTCACGTTTCCGCTCAACGAGGTAGTGGAATTAACTATACAACAAAGAAACACATTTGTGATGCATGACAGCCCATAGAAGCATTTTGTGTGAAGAGAATTGATGACAATGAAATTTAGCACATCTACCTTTCATAATGTGACATTACAGAGTGAAACATGTAAGTGTCACTGTTACTCTTTTTACTTGAGCCTGTAAGCAACTACCCAGAACACCCTAGCAACTGCATAGTAACATGCCAGAGGCGAATATTTTAGAAAACCTTGAATCAGATGAGGATATTTATTATTAGGAAATCAAATAATAAGAACTTTTTTCTTGACTTGCTTTATTCTCCGCTCAAGGCTAGTGTGCAGTTTGATGTTCGTCCAGATATATGTGTGTCCGGGACGTCCCCTGAGAGTGTGTCTCGGCTGCTGGGTGAGCTGGCGCTGTACGGCACACACTACCTGCGTCTCAGCCGCTTCTCCCTGAGCAGCACGAGTCAGAAGGGACTCGTCTTCCAGGTGACGCATGCTTTACTTTAGGACTGATCTAGGACCAGCATTTCACATCCTGTATGTTCTTTTCCTATAACAACATCTTACACAGATGCTTGTGTGTGTGTTTTAGGCCTTCACAGGTGGGCTGCGGCGTTACCTGCATTACTACAGAGCGTGTGTGCTGAGCACGCCAGCCTCTCTCAGTCTCCTAACCAAAAGCAAGAAGAAGAAGAAGATGACTCACGCGGCGGCTGAAGAAGAAGACGCAACCGCGCTCAGGACAGTTCAGACAATTATGGAAAACAGTCACATTTTCAGATATAAAGTCCCAATTGAGAGATATCAAATGGCAATCGTAAGATATGAAATCACAATTAAGGAAAAATTCACAATTGTGAGCTACTGTATAACGTCGCAGTCATGAGGGATAAAATCACAGTAGTGAGCTATAAAGTTGCAGTTATGGGAAATAAACAATCATGGAAATTCACACTTACGAAACTTACTTAAATTATGAAATATAAAGATGCAATTACTAGAAATAAACAAATATGAGTTGCAATTATGGAAGCAGTCACATTGTGAGATATAAAGTTGCAATTGTGAGATAAATGTAACTGTAAGAAACTAAGTTACAATTACCACTAAGTTACTTTTTTACTCTATAGCAGAAATAGTCTTCCAAAATAATATCACTCAAGACTGGTTAAGGGTGATTCTCTATTATTAGTGCTGTTGTAATTGATGGTGTTTTCTTCACTGCTCCAGATGCTCAAGTTTGTCCCAGAGAAGTGTGATGTGGACCTACTAGAGGAGCACAAAAACCGCGCTCAGGACAGTTCAGACAATTATGGAAAACAGTCACATTTTCAGATATAAAGTCCCAATTGAGAGATATAAAGTCTCAATAATTGAGAGATATCAAATGGCAATCTTAAGATATGAAATCACAATTAAGGAAAAATTCACAATTGTGAGCTACTGTATAACGTCGCAGTCATGAGGGATAAAATCACAGTAGTGAGCTATAAAGTTGCAGTTATGGGAAATAAACAATCATGGAAATTCACACTTACGAAATTACTTAAATTATGAAATATAAAGATGCAATTACTAGAAATAAACAAATATGAGTTGCAATTATGGAAGCAGTCACATTGTGAGATATAAAGTTGCAATTGTGAGATAAATGTAACTGTAAGAAACTAAGTTACAATTACCACTAAGTTACTTTTTTACTCTATAGCAGAAATAGTCTTCCAAAATAATATCACTCAAGACTGGTTAAGGGTGATTCTCTATTATTAGTGCTGTTGTAATTGATGGTGTATTCTTCACTGCTCCAGATGCTCAAGTTTGTCCCAGAGAAGTGTGATGTGGACCTACTAGAGGAGCACAAACATGAGTTGGACCGCATGGCAAAGGCAGACCGTTTCCTCTATGAAATGAGCAGGTAGGACATTTAATCATCATGGGGGCTATTCATATAGGACACGTCTTATTTGTTGGTCTATGCTAGGGATGCTCCGATCCACCTTTTTCGCCTCCGATACCGATACCTGCACAATCGGGAAGAAAAAAATAAATAAAAATCTCGGATTTGGATCGGCTCTCTCCAACCGATACCCGATCCGAGAAAAATGGCACTATCGGAGCCGATACCCGATATGAATATCGGATCGGCGCATCCCTAGTCTATGCAAACATACACAAGTCTTTGACCATTGTGATGCATCTCGAGTAAAAAGAAGTTAAAAGTGCATCACGAGTGTAAATAGACCCTAATTTGATTAACTTTTTCCTTTCTCACAATTCTACTTTTATCATGAGGAGCTTTATTTAATTAGATAAATGTGATGGCTTAACTAAGTTAGTCTTTGTCCATTTGAAAATAAAGGCTCCCCACTCTCTAAAAAGGAAGACATTTTTATTAAGGAGCTCAAAAGCCTTAAGCTGATACCTAAATGTTGCTGCACATACCCATAAGCCCCATTGCTGATTGGCTTGGATCTTTATTTCATCTTGGCACCGCAATGAGCATCGTGCTGTTCACCTCCACAGTCCCACACAGTGGATTTCATGATGTTGGCTTAGTACGTTGTATGTAAGGAATATCTCATCCGTGAAGGCCACCCACCACTGTACAGTGGCTTATTCAGATCTGTTTAGTTTTTCCACACACTCAAACACGTGGTGTTAGAAGTAAATGCGATTTCCTGTAGGAAGGAAGGAAAAGGGTTATGAATCCTGGGTGACACATTGATCTGGTCAGACTGAGGGTCCCATTCAGCATCAATATTTTCTGTAACTAAATAAGTACTATCTTATCGTAGACATGCAGGTTTCTAGCAGAGGAGCTTAGCCAAACAAAGCACAGGTGCCTTGGCTTGCTTGCTTTTTCTTCCTCTGTATGAGACCCTAGTGAGTTTTTTTCACTGCGCTGTGGCTGATGTGTTTGGAGTGTTTGGAGTGGAAGACAAATCGTTCCAAGAATCGACTGGCTTGTCCGATTTTAGTCTCTAAGGCTGTGAAGGCTGTGTCGGCAAGTGCGGTAACCAAGGTGATTGTTCCCGACACGAGAGTGCTGAATGCAACACAGCAGCGTCAGGTTCAGATCACTGCTTCAGACTGTTTGTTCTTTATTCAGTGGAACCATTAATGCTGTGTATACAGATCATGTGTGTTTTATTGTGTCATATGCAAGACAGTAAATCTCTACAGCTCATTTAGAATCTATTATGGGTGATCTAGTGTGCAATCCTTTTAATGGACCTTGCTCTTATATTTAATGTACTTTCCCTTTTTCCCTTGTCCAATCCGCTATCTTTGTCCTTCCCACAGAATAAACCATTACCAGCAGAGGTTACAGTCTTTGTACTTCAAAAAGAAGTTTGCTGAGAGGATTTCAGAAATTAAACCTAAAGTTGAAGGTTCGCGCATGTGCACTTTAAATACATTTACATTGAGAAAATGTCAGTTGATTACCTTTTTAAACAGTTTTTTAAATTGATTTACTTATTTTGAAATTACTTATGAATTATTACTGTATTCAAGTGCAGAATATTCAGATTAATTAAAATGTAATGTATAATTAATATAATAAAAAGAAATTTAAAAATTATATATATATATATATATATATATATATATA